GTTGTCTTTACCTGAAGAAAGAAGAATCATATCTTTCAAGGAAGCTTATCTATTGGGGAAAGATATGGCATGAAAGAGGAAGATACTAGGCAAGCATTACAGTACTTTCATGATGTCAGTCTCATGTTATATTATCCAGAGGTTACAGATGTAGTTTTTGTTGATCCTAAGCCTATTCTTAATATTCTTTCAGAGTTATTAGCTCTCACATATGTCAATGATAGTAGTGCACTAAATTCTATTTTACTTGACTGTCACCGCCTTTCTCCGAATGTTATAAATCATCTAAAAGACGGTTTTTTCAAGGAATATATTTTTAATCACTTAAAATCCAACGGCGAAATTTTTAGCGCACCTGAATTTCAACTCTGTGACTTAATTTCTCTTTTGCTGTATCTTAACATCATCATGAAAGTGGAAGATAATACAAAGGGTACCTATTTTATTCCTTATACTCTTTCTTCATATCAAGGCTCAGCTATCCCTACAGTAAAAGTATCAAATGTTCAACCACTGCTTATAGTTTGGAGGGACTATGAGAGCTGTGAGAGTCCACCACCACCAGTACCAGTCCCTCAAGGTCTTTTTCCATTAGCAATAATGCACCTCCTTAATCAAAAAAAGTTTAAGCTTCCTTCCTCTAGATCAAACTATTATTTTAGATTTCGAGATGCTATGTCAATCAAGATTACCTTCAATCAGATACCTCACACACTTCACCTCATCAATCGTTATACTCATATTGAGGTGTCTTTCAATGGCCCTCAAGAACATTGCCCAATAATTCGTAACCTAATCATGAAAGCTATTGGTAAAGTTACCGACAAATTACATATGAAGCATAATTATATAAATGCATTTGCATGCATCAAAGATCAGGAGAAGAAGTGTTATTGCATCATTGTTAATGAAGAACAGTTTATAGTCAATTGTACAGAATGTCTTGAGTCATATCCTATTACAGAAGATAAATGCAAGTGCTGGTTTGAGTGTGTTACAACTGAAATAAATGATCCACTTACTACAAGTAAGAACTTTTTGATTCAATTTTTCAAAAATGATACAATTAATGTGCACTGTTACTTTAACTTGAACTATATAGCATTTTGCCATTTGAATGAGCCAATTTGGACCTTTAATTTAGGATCCATATCACATTATTAGACATGGATGATGTGATCCACATCCAATGTATCTTATTATGAATCCAAATCACACAGTAAAATATTTTATTTTTAGGAGCTAAAGCATCAAAAGGCCCAAAGCAATCCACTGATTTAAGTAAATATACAACATTTTAAATGTACATGTACTTGTAGATGCTTCAGTATACTTGTATCGTTATTGACTGCTATTTTTTCATTAGATGTTGGTCATCTTATTGATGTACGTGATTTACTAAAGAAGCACGGATATTCCGGTGTTAATTATTATGATCTTGGTCTTCGTTTGGGTCTTCTCCCATGTACACTTGATGTCATTGAGAAAGAAAACAAGGACAATGTTTGTAGGGGTCTAAGAGAGTGCTTGAAAGCATGGCTGGAACAAAAAGACAATGTAAAGACTAAAGGTGGTCCAACTTATGATGCATTAATACAAGCATTGAGGGACGAGGAAGAGAGCACTGTAGCTGATGGGATTGAAAGAGAATTAGTAAGGAATGAATTACTAAATGCTAATGATGATTATTGTTTGCATTTTATTATTGTTTAAGTATGACTGCTGACCTACAAAAATTTAAAATAATTTAAATGTAGGAGCTTCAGTAAAATGACCATGAAGTGTTTTAGTATAATTATTTTAAGAAAGTAGAAAACAAAGAAAAAGATTGTTGTTATCAACTTGATCTTTTCTAACTCTGCCTGTCAGTTAAATTAATTCATGAAAGGCACTGATTTATGCAAATGCTAAATTTTGCTTGACAGATAATTTTTTTATTTTGCAGAGGGAAAAATAGAAGCCAGCATTTTGTTTGGAAAACTTGATTTCTTTCAGTTAAAGTAACAAAGAGTAGCTGTGTTGTCAAATATTATCATGATTCTAATGACAGAAAACTTTCAGAAGTTTTGTATTGTGTGTATCATGTATTGAATGTAGTAATTGAGCTAGTCCTTTATTGACATTCCTTTTAAATGTACATGTAGCTTTTAAATTGTTATAATTATTATTGTTCATAGTTACATTAATGATTTATAATTATATTTTGAAGGCTGTATAATTTTTTTGATTAATAATTTTACTCTATTCCTATACTTTTATCTTTTCACTAATGCCAATGCTTATTGATGTGTGGTACCAGGCCATCCACACTTCAACTTACTCATATTATTATCTGGATCCCAATTAAGACAAGCTCATGGCCTACTTACAATGAATCCAGTTTTTACCTTTGTCTCTATTTCTTTCTATCTTTCTTTTTGTGTGGCAAGTTTAAAAGTTTTATCTGGAAAGTAATACCATGAGACACTTAGATGTGTGTGGCTGTACTCTGTGTAAAAACTTGTCAGGTTCATCTTACTAGCTGTTCACACTGTTAATGCAATATGTCATTTTTATTGTTTTAGGCTATTCCTGAGGTTGCTGATAAAATCATTCAATCAAAATGGTAAGTGAACATACACTGTTTGATTATGTACAGTATAGCCTGTACTACCTGTACTGACATATAATGTAAATGAACTTGTGCATACATTTGCATGAACATGTACATGTATTGTTAATAATTAGGAGCTGTCCAGTTAATTCATGCACTCAGTATGAACCAAGGACATTCAGTGAAGAGGAGCTTGGAAGAGATGCAGAACTTCATGAAGAATGTAACACCAGGTACTTGTACATGTACATGCACTTATAGAGGGAGGGAGAGGAAAAGGAAATTAAAGAATATAAAAGGAAGTGATACCGTAGTGCGCCTTTTTTTCGAGGGCTATAAATTTCGTGGATTTTTATTTTGCGGATTTAATTTTCGCGAATTTATGCCGTCTGCCATCTTGTACCGTATTAATTTGATTTTCGCAAAAGTAATTTTCACGAATCTTTAAAAAATCGCGAAATCCACGAAATTTATAGCCCTCGAAAAAAGGCGCCCTACAGTAGTTAATAGGATAAGTTTACAGAGAGTGGGAGCAAAAAATGGCTCTGAAATCTCCCCCAAGTTTTATTGCATTTCCTGATACTTATTGATGTACTTATGCTACATAAAAACTTTGAACAAATTCTGACCCTAAATTTTTAGAGTTATAGGCATCTTTTAAATTGGCCAATTTTTGGAAAATACCCAAGGCTATAGCCCATAATTTTTTGAAAGTTGGCTTCGAAACCACTCTTAATTTTTAATTTTATTTTTGCATGTATATGTACATGTATTTTGTTATTATTTGTCATTTGTAGGTCTCATGTTCCTTCACTGGCTCAAAACATTTCCTCTCTACCTCTCAGTTATATTGTACCATGGCCACTATCAAGCATGATGATACCTTTACTATAGTCTTTGATACTACAACAATTACATGTACCTGCTGCTTTCTTTTTCTCTATTTCTTCCCTCCCTCTCTCTCTCTTCTATAGATAGACAGTTAATGTTAGCAGCAGGTGATAGTGCTGGTACATTACACATATTAGAAATACCATGGAGTCTAAGTCATGCATCAAGCAATGAAGTACCGGTATGTAATTTAAACTATATGTATCACCTATAATGCATGCTTTTGTGCTTATAGTAATTTGAGTTTTAATTTTTTTATTTGCCAGAAATCAAATCCATACATGTACATGTACCATAATTATTATAGGAATGGACAATAATAGCACTAAATTATTATTATTATTGTAGCTAAAATAGCAAGACTATTATAGGAATGTTTGCATGTACATGTACATGTAGTTCATTAATTAAGCAATATGGACTGATGTACTCTACTATGTACATGCACTTATATTGCTAATATTATATTAATACTAATTTTTTTCATTAGTTACTAATAATGGAGTCATTTTTTGATTGAAAGGTTAAGAGGTTGGATTTTGTTAGTGAGAGAAACAGAATGAGAGAAATAGAAAAGAAAGCACTTGATGAGAAGAAAGCTTCAGCTCATGATGATGAAGAAGAAGTAAGTTATTTAACATAAAATGTCTTTTTTAGTACTTCATGCATAAAGACTTCATAATTTTTATTAGCTTTGTATCTTCATTTTCAAACAGTGTTATAAGGATAGGATGGTTATTGGTGTCAATTTTGTATTGTAGGAAAAGAAGAACGAACTTCAGAAAGATGATGAAGAAAAATATGAACTGGTGAGTGATAGGATTATCCATAAAATACTTTGATTTCTTTCTGTTTATTTGTTTGTAGGAGTATAGAGATTATCTAAAGTTGGAACAATCATTATTGATTGAACTAGGACTGAGACAACCAGCAGATGAAAACTGAGAGAGAGAGTGTGTGTGTTATTGAGTAAGAGAGAGATTGATAGTCTAATGAGTTTGATTTCATGTCAGTATATTATTGTTAAAATGCCCACACTAGATAGGTCACTAGCTGATTAAGCCAGAAACATTTTGCAACTAAACTAGACCACTGAGAAAGATAAAGAATGACCTGGCACTGCATCATGCTAAGCCATGCATAGTACTTTTAGTACATCTGGTCATAATAAGTCTAGATCTAGTATAATCGATGATCTTAGATACTACTACATGTAGAATTATTATAGATAATGGGAAGGGGAGGGTCCGCAGCGAGATCCCCCAGACTTCTCTGAGGCTTAATAGCATGCCAATAACTTGCTTTAATGGACTCCTTAGTGTATGGACTAGGAGTACACACCATGTAAGATGTGATGTCATGCCAAGTCAGGAAGCCTATCACATTCTGTGTGCCAGTCATCCTGCGCAACATATGGATCTTTCTCTATTCTACATCTCTCCAATTTATTTATATATCTACTCTTTTCAGCAGGAGGTAAGCTAGCTGCATATTCTGATGATGATAAAAGAACCATTGTAGCGCTACACCCACATGCTAATTATTGCGCTCTCAGACACCCAACATGGCGGATAGCAACGGTTGTCAAGGAAGTGCATCAATTAATTGACTCGCGCAGAACCTCTATAGAGAAATGGCAACCAGACAATCTTCACCTTTTCCTCCTGATCTTATGTTCAAACTGGAGGACCAACTCACCTGTCCTGTGTGTCTTGACCACTACTTCAATCCTAAAACCTTACCTTGTCTTCATTCATTCTGTCAACAATGTATTGAGGTATTACCTCTGGATAAGAAGAATGAGACCTATTACCTCTCTTGTCCCATTTGTCGTCATCATACAGAGCTACCAAAAGAAGGGGTAGGAGCCTTTCCTGTAGCATTCCACCTCAACAACCTCAAAGAAATCATAATGCAAGCACCTGACCGCACTGATGGTAGCCACAGGTTTCCACACAGTTTAGTTGCAGGTAAGAAACCTGTATGTAACCTGTATGTCATGTGACTCTTTTGATTTTATTTCTATTTTAGAATGTATGTACAACAGTGATCAAAGAATTGTATCAGCACTGCGGCAGGAAATGCCAACGGTTGCAGCTAATAAACAAGGTATCTATATATATTCCGTAATTATTTTAACTTTATTATTAAAACTTGCATCATACTGTTTATTTCGTGTGAAATTAATTTTCATGCAGGCTCAAATCCACTAAAATTAATTCCACTAAATTTTATTACATTAACAAAAATTATGTAAACCACAAAATTAATATCCAACGAAATTAAAATTTAAAGCCATGAAATAAACCAGTTGTACAGTAATTATGTACATGTATGCATGAATCATGCATTTTGTACACATTAATAGTTATATACCAGCCATTTTGTGTTGTTATTGCATGGCTAATAATTGGCTTTTTTACGGCATACCTGCTTCTAGGCTGTTAAGGTTATATAGTATAGAGTGTATATTACTATGTGTCAGCCATTCAATTGGTGATTAGTGTGGGCCAAGACAATGTTGTTAGGTTGTCTGCTTGTGTTTCAGTTTTTCTTTTCCATTAGAAAACACTAACATGCACGATGCATCTTGTGCTAAGCAGTATACATGGCCAATACAATAAATTTTTAGCCATAGGGAACATTTTATTTCTCTTAATTTCTAGCCTAGATGTCTGAATATAATGTAGACCTTTTAGAAGCAGTATAATAAACAAAAGGCAATAATTCACTGCATTATGTTCACACTTGTAGCTGCTTCTTTCAAAGAAGCATAAACCAAAGCTTCAATGAGCATGGACATAGAAGCATAGAAATTTTACTAGTCTAAATCCACATATCATTATAGGCTTATAGCATCTAATACTGTATCCCTTCTTAATTGATCATAGCACTTGACTTTATTTATAAACAGATCCATTCTTTTTTTATCTGTTGCATGTACATTGTATGTGAGAGTAATAGTTGGCATTGCCTTGAATTTTTGGCTTAGATAAAGCATGCATACAATGGAAGGCAAGAAATAGTTTGTTATTTATTCATAACTGTTTTAGCTGTATACATGTATAACACATAAAGAACTCATTATGCATTGACATACATAATGAGTGCTGCCAGACTAAAATATTGTTAAGGCACATATACTTCTTAATTCACTATGTTAGTGCCATGATCATAATAATTTTATTTAATTATTGTCTTTTGTAGTCAATTTATTATTAAGTCTCTTTTTTTGATGTTAAAGCCTGACATCACCATTAATTATAATTATGCATGCATGTAATTGCAGGTGCTTTAACAATGTGGATGGAAGAAGGTAGTGTTGATCTAACCATTACTCGTGTTAATATGCTTGGTGCTCCTGGATCTGGTAAAACCTGTGCACAGCTCCTACTATTAGATGAAGACCCTCCAACTGAAGATGATGCTGACAGCACATCAATATCTTATCCTATTAGAGTAGCTGTAGATGACGAGAGCATGAAATGGGATCAAATAACCAGAGATAAGTTACTTGGTGGGTTAGCAGCTGATTTGATCAAAGCATCAAAAAAGCAGTCTGTGGCTGAAGTGTTATCAGTGGACACTCACCAATTGTCACCATCTAAAGTAAGTGTTTCTTCGAAATCAAGAAAAGATGAAGTAGATTATCACGTCGAAGAGGTAGTTCAAGAAATTTTGGCAACAAAACCAGTAGGCATTCAATTAAAAGGCCATTGGTTGTACATTATTGATTTGTGTGGCCAACCAGCATATCAGGAGCTATTGCCTTTATTTACTAGAGCTGCTTCTCTTAATATCATCACTCTTGATCTCTCTAGACCTTTTGATGAAAAATTTGAGATGAAGTACAAAATCGATGGGAGATACTTCCCTTGCTGCTCCAAGTCGACTCAGTTAGCATCCTTCCAATCTTCTGTTTCTACTTCGGCTAATTTTAATTCTCTTGATATTCCTAGTGTCACAAAAGAGCATGGCCATTCGATGCATCTTGTTCTGGGAACTCATTATGATAAAGTGGATGAGACTACCCTACATGAGTGTGAAGACTCTTTGAAGACTTCAATGTCTTCATTGCAGCCTTACTTACGTGATCGTATCATTTGCAACAGCACAAAATCTCAAGAGTCTATTATATTTCCTGTCAATACAATGGCTGAATCAGAAGAAAGGGCAAAATACGGTGAAGAGATTCGTCAAGCAATATGGCTGTATGGCTCTGGTGCATCTCTTACTATCAAAATACCAATTCGATGGTTTGCCTTTGAGCTGTCTTTTCCTGAAAAAAAAAGAATCATATCAATCAAAGAAGCTTTATCTATTGGGGAAAGATATGGCATGAAAGAGGAAGAGACCATGCAAACGTTGCTGTATTTTCATGATGTCAGTCTTATGTTATATTATCCAGAAGTTACAGATGTAGTTTTTGTTGATCCTAAGCCTATTCTTAACATTCTTTCACATTTATTAGCTCTCACATATGTCAATGATGGTAGTGCACTGAAATCTATTTTACTTGAACCACTTGATCAAATTGTAATAAATCACCTTAAAGATGGCTTTTTTAACGAAGAAATTTTTACTCACTTGAAGTGCAAGAGTGAAATATTTTGTCAGCCTGAATTTCAACTCATTGACTTGATTTCTCTTTTGCTGCATCTTTACATCATCACAAAAGTGGAAGATAATACAAAGGGTAATTATTTTATTCCATATGCTCTTTCTTCATATCAAGGCTCAGCTATCCCTACAGTAGAAGTGTCAAATGTTCAACCACTGCTTATAGTTTGGATAGACTATGAGAGCTGTGAGAGTCCACCACCACCAGTACCAGTCCCTCAAGGTCTTTTTCCATTAGCAATAATGCACCTCCTTAATCAGAAAGAATTTGAAATTAAGCTTCCTTCATCTAGATCAAACCACCATTATTTTAGATTTCGAGATGCTATGTCGATCAAGATTACCTTTAATGAGATACCTTATACACTTCACCTCATCAATCGTTATACTCATATTGAGGTGTCTTTCAATGGTCCTCAAAAACATTGTCCAAATATTCGTAAACTAGTCATGAAAGCTATTGGTAAAGTTTCAGACAACTTACATATGGAGCATAATTATATCAATGCATTTGCTTGCATAAAAGATCAGGAGAAGAAATGTTATTGCATCGTTGTTAATGAAGAACAGTTCATAGTCAATTGTACAGAATGTCCCAAGCCATATCCTATGACAGAAGATAAATGCAAGTGCTGGTTTGAATGTGTTACAGCTGAAATAAATGATCCACTTATTACAAGTAAGAACTTTAAATTTTAATTTACCAAAATGATACAATTAATGCTCACTTTAATTTATCACTTTTATGTAAGGAGTTAGGTACTGTATCATTATGCAAAAATGTTTTTGGCATGGGATTTATCATTTAGGATAGGATTCTTAATTAAGCCAACGCACAATGTTAAAGTCCCTAAATAATGTTTAGGGTATTGGAATTATCAAGAGTAGATAATCTACTCTAGGAATTTTCTAGTGATCTTTGGACTTTAGAGTATGTGTAAATGTGCTGTAACTGTACTATCACACTATCCATGCACTAATCAATTAAATACCATAAATGGAATGATTTTTGTCCACTTAATTTTGACATTTAAATAATTGCAACTTTAAATTTTGCAATTTTTATGGAATCTATTAGCTCTTTTTATTATTTATCATTAATTTGTTTGTATAGCATTTAATCATCGACTAACAATTAAAGATTTAAATGAAGTATTAAATGATTTGAAGAGTGGAGGGTTTTCTGATGAAAGCTATTTTGGCCTTGGTCTGGAGTTAGGTTTGCATCATGGGACACTGAATAATATCAAATCAAACAACACGAAATGTGAAGACCAACTTAGGGAGTGTATTTCAAAATGGTTGATGAGATCAGATGACGTTGATAAACGTGGAGGAGCAAACTGGACTATGTTATGCAATGCAGTAGAAAAGATGAACCGAGCAGCAGCTGATTATATTAGTTAGTTAACTGTATAACCTAAAAATGTAGTGTCCCTATTTTATGACATGATGATTATTATTTTTGTAGGAGCTAGACACAATATATTGACCTCACAACCAATTGAACAGAGTATGTGTCTCACTAATTATTAAATGCATTTTTTGAGAATTATTTATATAGGCTCTCCTCAAAATCATGTTGAACCAGACACACAGACTACAGGTACACTGTGTCTTTGATTATCAATTAATGCGTATCATTGAATTTAATTTGTTCTCTGCCAATTAAATGACATATTAGGTTTTAGCTATACACTGCATGACTGCATGCACATGAAAGAGTCTGTGTGGCTTTAAACCATAATATTTACAAAATGTACATGTGGCCATCTGGATGTAGAATTTTAATTGTGTTACAATTCAACAAAACATAAAAATTTTTACCACATCATTTTGTATATAGGTTCTGATGAAGGGGCACGAAGAAGATACCCACTAAGTTTTTGTAAGTTTTATAATTATAACAAGTAAAATAAAATAAAATTGTAGCTTATACTACCTTTACTCCAAGTGGAACAGAAGAAAACAATAGTTCTTCATCTCCTAATCCTTCATATACTGGTATATATGTATTTTTATTATGGATAATAAACATCATTTATTATTTGTTAGTTAAGTGGTCTCAGTACTCAATAATCTTTATCTTGGTTGTTGGACTTCTAGCTCTTGGATTAACTGCAATTATTTTATTTTGGTTCCGTTAACAATAGTGATATTGTTTGTCACATTTTTTTATTTTTATATTGTGTGGTAAACTAGTGAAGCTACTTGAACTGCATGACAATTATTATTATTGTATGATTTTTTATTAATATGTAAATGTACTGATATGCTTGCTCTTTAATGTATCGTAAACCCTCTTAATTTGTGTAGATACATACATATTTATATAATTTCTGTTTGACGCTGAACCTAAAATATGAGCTGTTGTTCTTCTTGTTTTTTTTGTTATGTTGATTCCTTCTGGCTCTCCTTTTTTTCTTAACTTTGTTTTGGCTTGAAATTATGCCAATCATTATTTTTAATCTGTTTATTTTAAAGCACATTAGTGAATATACTGTATGCATGTGCATGTAGTGTTGATTATGTGCATTTACATGCATGCATTTAATGTAGGTTAATATTTGAATAGTTTAATATTATGAATTAATTTACAAAAAAGCTGTTCTATTTTGAACATGCATAGTATACTGTTGCTATGCATGTACATGTACATGTATTGTTAATGATTAGGAGCTGTCCAGTTAATGCATGCACTCAATATGAACCAAGGACATTCAGTGAAGAGGAACAAGAGAGAGTTTGGAAGAGTGAAGAGATGCAGGAATTCATGAAGAATGTGACACCAAGGTACACATGTAGGTACATGTACATGTATTATAGAGAAAGGGGGAAGGAGGGAGAGAGAGGAAAGTTATACATGTACATATTTACATGTTTACATATTCAACAGAGAAAATAGGAAAATATAAATTTATGTACTGTACATATTATATTGTATGGCCTATCCTTTATTGTACTTTTATTTATTTTCTTATTTCATAGAATGGAATTATGTTTGCAGCAGAATGAGATTATGGATATATTCCCTGATGACTATCTCCTACTGTCCAATGATGATGGGATTGTTGCTAACACAACTGACACAAATCTTAAGGTTTCATTAGAAAATATATCAAACTGCTCTACATGTACATGTACATGTGCTTACATTATAGGAGTATCAGTCATTTACTGACCTCAAGTTCAGTAAAGATAAAGTTGTGACTTGTATTGACTGGCATCCAACAATTAAAGGTTTGGCATACCTATACACTGTACATGTACATGTATGAATGATAAATTTACAAGATTCAGTTTTGTATTGAATATGCATTTACTGTGTATATGCTACTTTATGAACAATGTACAATGTAGAAAGTTTGACCTGATTCCAACTCAATTTTTTTAAATTATGATAATTTGCCATAATTGCCTGTACTATAGCCCATGGTTTTTTTCAAAAATCAGCTCTGAAATCACCCCCAATTTTTATTACATTTTCTGATACATATTGATGTACTTATGCTGCGTAGAAAGTTTGAGCAGATTTCTACTTCAATTTTTCAAGTTATGACCCTTTTTTAAAAACTCCAAACTTATGAAAAATCCCCTGTACTATAGCCCATGGTTTTTCCAAAAAATTGGCTCCAAAATAACCCCCAATTTTACATTTTCTGATACATATTGATGTACTTATGCTATGTAGGAAGTTTGAGCAGATTCCGACTTCAATTTTTCGAGTTATGACCATTTTTTAAAAACTCCATTTTTCTGAAAAATCCCCTGTACTATAATAGCCCATAGTTTTATGAAAAATTGGCTCCAAAATCACCCCCCAATTTTTATTACATTTTCTGATACATATTGATGTACTTATGCTACGTAGAAAGTTTGAGTAGATTCTGACTTCAATTTTTTGAGTTATGACCATTTTTCTAAAACTTCAAATTTCTGAAAAATTGCCTGTACTATAGCCCATGGTTTTTTTCAAAAAGTTGACTCCAAAATCACCCCCAATTTTTATTACATTTTCTTATACATATTGATGTACTTATGCTATGTAGAAAGTTTGAGCAAATTCCGACTTCAATTTTTCAAGTTATGATGATTTTAAAAAATCTCCAATTTTCTGAAAAATCCCCTGTACTATATAGTCCATGGTTTTTTGAAAAATCGGCTCCAAAATCACCCCCAATTTTTATTACATTTTCTGATACATATTGATATACTTATGCTATGTAGAAAGTTTGAGCAGATTCCAACTTCAATTTTTCAAGTTATGACCATTTTTTGAAACAGCCAATTTCTGAAAATACCCTATTCTACACTGAATGTAGCCCATATATGGTTTATTCCTCTTAGAGTATCATGTAATGTGTTCATTGGACTCGCCACGCTTGCGTAGGCGGGTACTAAGCAGTTGGGTTGTCATTCTGTCATTCTGTCCACACACTTTAGATTCTAATTGATTTGTCCAACAATTATCTTTTGGTCTGAGCAGTCTAGAGCTCTATTTCTTCTT